TTCACATTATATATCAATAGCATAAGGGAGTCTATGCACAAAATTAAAAAAAAATGTATATATAGTAGTATAGTAGAAATAAACGTTATACCAAAGCAAACAAGACATGTCTAAATAGGATTTAATGAATTATTTACAGATACAAACACAAGTCACATTTTCTTGTCAGTATATCACAATAATTTTGTGATATTGTTAAACGAATTGTCTTTCCGAGCTTTTAAGAGTTCCATTTCATGGTTTTATTAGAGTCAAAATGAAAGTAATAGGCAATATTTTAATGTTCTTTTTATTCGCAATTTAAGATTATTATCTAAAAGATTATAAAAGCTTATTTTATTTTGGTCTCTTACGAGTATTACCGCTTTATGAGAATTGCTTGCTTACATTCCTTATTCGCAATCGAGAATTTTGCTTAAATTATGCATAACATTGACGCGACATATTTAGCATGTTGTAATTTTGTGGATTATATGGCACTGTAGAATAAATAAAATATCTACGTAGACCCGAACCCGCTACTTCACGAGTTCTAGAACACCACGTCGACACTAAGCCATTCTTTCGCCCTTCTAGTACATCTCTTATAACAACACATTTTATAGCAACGAAACTTTAAAGTAAAATCACGTTTACAAAAGTTAATGTCAGTTCTGTTTTACTGGCAGGAATCACGAAAGTATTTTTCCTCTGTACTGTTACTATTTAGCTCTCAACGGTCATTAAAGTAGTTAATACGCTCTCCAATAAAATAAATTTAATTATAGTTCGATCTACAGAACGTAGTTTCGAAAATAAACGTTAGATAGCGCTGTCGGCAAGCAGGGAGGTCCAGCACCATCACCTCTCGGGCCAAGGCATTTTCGTCGCGAAATTTTATGTCTCCAAGAGTGTACAATACATGTACATTGTATTTCTAATATATTTCTAATACATGTACATTGTATTTCTAATATATGCTAGACATGTATTAAAATTCAATTTAATTCACGTACTAAGTACAATATTATGTAATGCTAATTATTTTTTTAGATGGTAGGTTTAACCTACCAAAAGAGAGAGAAAGAAAGAAAAAAGAAGGAAAAAAGAGAGAAAAAATCTTCATATGAGATTCCTCCCTGGGCTGGGTCCGTCCTCATATCCAACAACCAGTTGGGGGGGGGGGGGTCAAACAACGGAAAATGCAAAAATTATTTGTGCAGACATGCAGGTTTCTTTTTTGTCTAGTATCGTAGTTATGAACTTCTGTGTTTAGAGTAACAGAATCCTTGTTTCCCTAAAATGTCTTCTTTGTGAAGATTAATATTTCAAATATATTCATGCATGGAAGTGATAGTAGAATTTTGAACAGTGGTTTGGAGGATTCATGTTTGTGTTTGACATGTTCTCATGATGAAAGTGTGAATACTTGTGATGTTAGTGTGATAATGTTCGGAGAACGTTCGTTTTCCTCAACCCCCTTCCTCCCTTCAATCAATTCAACCCGCTTCTTTTGTCACAGTTGTGGGAATCCTCCTTACCTAAAAGCCAAGATATTTTTAATATCCCAAATGCATCTATTACGATGAGCTCTTACGAGCTCATCAAAACGCCTCTCTAATACTGCTTTAATTAGTTCAACCTTTCAACTAATGGTATGTTTTCACCCTCCTTGTCTTTAAAAAACTGTAAATAGAACAAAATTACTTGAAAAATTATCAGAGAGAAGAAGTTTCACGCACACTATACATCCGAGCAATTTGAACTAGTTTCTCAGGTTTACATTCATTCTAAAAAATGTTAGCTTTGAAGTACAGAAAATTATTAACACATTACCTCATACTATTTCGACACTCAAAACAGTCAGGTTTGGGAGTACAAGGCTATTATCGTGAGTTCTAATGCATCTCGGGGTAAATGCATTGTCGTAGACCCTTTGCTGAATTGTCTTGAAAGCCAAAAATGGATTCCAGAAATGGGCTGGACAAGTTGGCTGAATAAATGGTCATCGTGAATTGATGAAATGTAAAAATTGATTTGCTGGCTAATATGCAAAACCTTTTATGTTACAAGAAAGCATTTCTTGCTTACATTGCTTTCTTCATACTTATAAAATATACAGTGTGATTTCTCCATTGTAATAAGCAGAGTTATTTGAATCATAAAATAATTGCGTTACTTTCTTTGGAAGTTCATATATTCCATATGCAATTTTTTAAGCATATCTTCACGGTCATTCATTGCAAGCTATGTATGTTAATTGGAAGTGTAGCCGAAACTAGAATGGAATAAACTACATGGGTTCAGAATCTCGTGAGAATCCCAGCACGTTTAATTTTACTCAAAATAAATTTCTCCACTAGTGATAGTACTATCATATAAAGCAAGAATTACGGTTGAACTTATTTTCAGGTTTAACATCTCTGTTTTTACGTGAGAACTTGAAAATCATTCTGTGTGTTCAGGTCGTCTGCCACTGTGAATCGCAGCCTCCCTGCAATCCCGAGTGACTCGGAGAGACACCGTCCCGGCGGGGAGGCAATCTGGGAAAATGAACCAAACGGTGACACCGGCTCGGAGTTGTATGCAACAGTGGGAGACAAACAGGCCGAGAAACATGCAGCTGTTCCTCAGAGTAAGGACTAATTTTTTTAATCGAAACTGATCATGTTGTAACGTGTTGTGTCAATACACGATTTCATTACCTTTCGTTTCATTTTTCCTGATTGTAATATAAATATGAATAAATAGAAAATTGAGTGGAATGACGAAATAAGTTGGAAATTTCAATAATATAATATTACGAAACTATTTTCAATACTGCGAGAAAATGTGTTGTTGTAGCTCCGCTAGTTTTATTATCTTTTTCTGTACTCATTCGAAGTTATATTATGCAATAATGTGTATAATATGCATTAAGAACATCGTGTGTTTATATTTTTTTTTTTCTTCCTTTACTTGGCGTTTACCAACTATGCCTGGCTGGTGTTTTTTTCTCACTAGGTATTGCAAATTAGGTACAGAAAGATAGGTTGTAGTTTGCTTGTGACAGAAAGTTACTGTAACAAAAATTACCTCAAATTCTTTCATAAATTAGACAGTTATCCGCAAAAGTTGGAAACCGGGAAAATTGGGTAAATGCCTCTTCCAGGCGCACGACTCAAGCCTTTGCCACGGCCTTGGCGTTGCCACTAGGCAAGCGTGCTTGAGGTTGCGCGGCAGAATTGCGCGCACGGAAGGGATATTTAAACAAGATTTTCTCCACTTTTTCTTTCTTGCATGGGCAATTCCTGCACGTCCGTGCCCGCCCTTACGATTCATTCGAGCTGCTTGACTCGTGAATTATTTTCGTCAGCACCCATGCGACGCATACGAATGATTTGACATATATTGTCGTATACAACAATCGTTTATAGCCAGGGTTTAAGATTAATGGTTATATTATTACGGGTACCAATTTATTCTGGTGTGAGTATACGAGTTTCTCCTGTTTACAAAATGTTTTTTAAAATTAAAGTTTTTTAGGACCATAGCAGTTGATGAACTTGAGAATTAAATTTTACAAGAATGTGGCAAGGATCTCTTTCATCCCAGACTAAATTAGTATTTGAGTTTGTATGTAGTGGTATCTAATCTAGAATATGATCTAGTATAAGTTCAGAATTTTATATCAAAATTAAGAGAAAAGGCAGAATCAACAGAATATAGTTAGGATTGATGTACCCTCTTCGTAATTTGTGACTGTTTTATAAGTCACCACTATACTTTTGTTTTATCAGCACCAAAGGATTTATTTCTTAAATCAATGGATATGGATTAAATAATTTTAAATTTCTGATGACATACATACGCTTTGCTTTCTCTTTTTTTTCTTCGTTTCTTTCTGAGAAAAGTCGCTCTGCCTTTTCATGTATATTTGTATAATTGTTTACATGAGTGCACATAATTATACAAATTCTTAAATATAAAAGTGGCTTGGAGTATATTATTATTTCATGGGATGGAATTTGCTAACAATTGAAACCATTAATGTTTACTTTTTATTACTATTTCTATTTCTTTTATTTTGATTTTATGGCAATTGAACTTGGCCTTTTAAGTTTTTGAAATTTTTACAGTAACATCACAACTTGGTAGTGGCCAGCTAAGACTTCTCACTGAAGATGCTTCTCTTGAGACCAGTCGTGATAATGAAAGTAACATGCTTTCCCATGGAGATGACAGTGTGCATTACGACTGTCTCAAATCGGAACATCCCTATGATAAAGTGAAAAAGAGTGAGTTGTTAGAATTATATTATTCTATGATGTGAAACTTCAGGATTAGGAAAGTTGCACTGCAAAAGCATCATATTTTGTTTTGAAAAATTCCTTTGAAACTTCCAACTTCCTTTAAAAATGTTGTACACTATTGTATGTAAATTCATGCTTATTAAATTAAATCTCCAAATTCAAAACAGAATATAAAATGAACAATCAGTCCTCAGATAATCTTTTTACATCTAAAAGGATTAATAAACTACTGTGCTTTCTCAATCATATTTCAAAATGAATGTATTTCCTAAGTAATTTTTGATTTCGAATTAAGTAATAAGGGGAAACTGAAAAAATTCTTAATTGATTTTGAGTTGTTATAATCTGTTGATTCAATGTTCGTCAGTGCTACAAAGATTATTTTCAGTGTCTTGTTTGAACTATTGATCAAATTCACTAAAATTTATTATAATTATTTTCTTTAATAAAGAACTTGGAATTAAAATCATGATTAATTCTTACATTTTTCATTGCAGATTCCAGATATATGTTTAAGATTTTTGGTCAAAGCATGCGGCACAAATGCATTTATATAAAATATACTTCTTTGTTTCAGGTGAACACCCTTACGCACAAGTGAAAACGTCTGACAAAACAAGAAGCTTTATTAACGATGCTGGCTCTAGTGGTGTGGTAGTGGATTGGTAACAATAGTATTTAATTTTGTAGAGTACCATATGGTGATTATTTGGTTGGTCTTTCAAGACACTGAAAATTTAATTTGCTGTGAGATACAGACAAATAGTATCATTATTCATACATTTGCACAAGTTTCTTACTTTTGTGTTACTTTTATTGTTTATGCCCTCCATTACGAATCAAGCAATTCACTCAGTGAATTGTTATCTTTCTGCTTCAGTTATTTGTAAAATATTAACCTATAATATTTCCACCCTGTGGCAGAGCCTCCTATCTATTCTATTGTCTCCTCACCCTGCTCTGCTCCTCCCTTCTCTGCCTTACTCCCATTTGGAAATACCCTGTGTTCCTGACTTTCACAATAACTTTGCCAAATTTGCTTTTTACTCACTCCTTTTCATATTTTCTTTTCTTCTCGCATATCTATAAAGAAAATTTTGAAATTTCTCTTTTACGTCAATTATACTTCTTCTTGCTCTCTTGAATTTAAATAATAATTTCTTCATCATCCAAAAGTACGCTTTCACTCTCCAATACAATAAAGCATATCCCAAAAAAAATTTTTCTGTTAGTCACAGTTTCAGCATAACATGTAAATATTTCAAAATATGTTTCACTTTCCCTCGTTCAACTCACAAATGCGTAATAATCGTGCTTAATTTAACCCATCCGTCAGCAATTTTTTCTTTCTTTCTCACTTTCTTTTTCTTTTCATTTCTTTCCTTCTTTGTTCCTTTCCTTTCCTTCCTTCCTTCTTTCTTTCTCTTTTCAATAATTTCATGTCTCTTCTACACTTAATACATTCACACCTAGTCGCAATTAAAATCAATTTCCAAGTTATTTATATGTAAAGAAAAAGAAAAACTGTCATTATCTGTCTTAAATATGAACATTCCAGATTAGAAAGTTAGTTAGTTAGAGAGTTCGTTGAAAGTTAAAAAACATCAAATGGTCCTCTCCAAAGAGGCTATAGTATATTATAACCTCTTTAATCTTTCCTACAGACACAATTCCATGCATAGATGAAGTCAATGCCAGGTGATTTCAGTCGTCATTCTCTGGTGGAGTGTAGCTAAACAATTGCACATTGATGCACTTTTGAATCTCTGATGTAATGCTAGGCGAATAAGTAATTATTTTATAATTATAGTAATGTTTCTGCTTGTAAATCATAGCCTATAGTACTCCAGACTTTTAAAAGGAAGCTAGCACAAAAGTTTCATCAGTATTGTTTCAGTAGATTCAGAGATTATTGGGCTGTAAGTCAACACACTTCTGTCTTTATATTTTAGTGTAGATTATTATTATTATTATTATGATTATGATATTATTTTATTATTTTATTATTATTATTATTATTATTATTATTATTATTTTGTTAGTTTGAAGGCTTAGCATCTAAGGCTTTAGCCTTTTTACTGACGATGTTATGATTAATTCATATATTTCTAATTTTGAAGAAAAGTTTGGCTTCTTTCAAGAAATGTATTGTTTTGTCAGTTGCTGTCTTGTCGGTGCCGAGATCTATCTTCATGTTGCTCTCATGCCGCATCTGTCAAGTCTTGAGAGATCTACGCAGTCTGTCAGAATATGTTTCACTGTCAGAAGTCTTCCGCAGCTGCAGATGGGTTGTTCTTCATTCTTAACATGTATGAAGAAGTCATCTTGCATGGCCTATTCTTAGTCGGGTTAAACACACTTGTTCTCGTCGAGGGTAGCTGACATTTGGTGACCATTTACTGATATTTTTGTTTAATGGGGTGTAGTTTCATGTGAAGACTGTTCCACGAGGTCTTGCCATTCTGTGAGGATGCACTTCGAGACAGCATTTCTTGCATCCTGAGGTCATATTTCAATATCCATTTCTGATTGATGTTCCCGGCATTTCGTGCTGCCGAATCGGCTTCTTCATTGCCTAGGATGCCCACGTGTCCAGGGCACCAGATGAACGTAACTGATGCTCCTCGCTGCTCTAATTTATGGCATGCTATGAGAATCATTTGTAGCAGTGGATCTACAGTTTGGCGCCTGTCTATTGCAGTGAGAGACTTAGGAGTCTGTGCAGATGACGAACTTCCTGAATCGAGAGTTTCACAATGTCGCAAAGACTGCAATACTGATATATTCGGCAGTGTTACACTTGCTTCAGGTGGAGTGCCCAAGCCCTCGACAAGTTCTCAGTTACAAATGCGCTCCGACCTGATGTTTTGTTTTTGAACCATCTGTGTAGATTATGATGTGATTTGTCATGTATTCTTCGAGAACTGATTGAAATCTTATGTATGTTTAGAAGGTTGTTTCTTTCGAGACACCATGTTAGCCGGGTGTTGACCATTTTTTCCAATATTTTTTCCTAGACAGCATGTCAGCGATACCGGGCGATAATTTCAGGATTTAATGGATCCTTGCCTGCCTTTAAATTGGAATTATTATCGCTTCTTTCCAGACATTGAGGTAATTACTTTGTGTCAAATGTTATTGTATTATTTAGCAAAGTGGACCAGTATTTTCTTCGGTAATCGACGTAGTATGCTGTAAGGGTATTGTCTTGATCCTGCTGCGGTGTCTCCAGCTGCATTTATGGCGTTTCTGCCAAATTCTCTCCATGTGAAAAGAGCGTGTATATGGCTTATCTATATTGGTTGTATAGTCAAGTAATGTCTTCTTCTTCTTTTTTTGTCTGGAAAAGTCTTTGGATAGCTATTTTGTGTCACTGGCTTTGGAGTATTGGGTCGCTAATACATTGGCTATTTTGTCAGGGTTGCTATTAGTTGTCCTTCTGTTCAATGCATGTGATTGGACTGAAACAGTTTTTCCCAGCTATTGGGTGAGGGATTTTCTGCCCATATTTCGTGACTTTGGTCGTCTGAGTTCTGGTTGTGTTACGTACTTTTCCCCAGCTTGATCGTTTTGCTGTAGTATTTTTGTGGCGAGCCGCAGACGTTTTGAAATCAAAAAGATTGTCTTGGGTTGGTGCACGTCTTATATTCTATCTGTGGTCGGGCTCTATTTCTTTTCTGTCTCCTTATCTGTTCTTCTCTTGGTCTCCGTACTTCAACTGCCTCTGGTCGACAGCTCGAATGCGGGCGTACTAGAGAAGCCCTTGCGTCCTAGGATGAAGCGGCCACTATGTCTGTGCGAATGATTTTACAGCGGAAGATAAGACAGTGTGGTGAAATCGTAACGTCTTCCCTGAGCTGTCCACTGAACATTTATTGGTGGTATATGTGTGAGCCTGGACAGTCTGCTGTGGTTGGTAACACAGCGGTTTTGTTAAGTGTACTGTGTTCTTCGGCATGTGTGATGATATAAGGAGGAAAGTGAATCACTCTGTGAAGATTGCAGTTGTTTTCACGTCAGGCGAGTGCAAGATTTGGACTACTATTGAGGGATCTAGGCTGAGATGATGCCATTTCTAGCATTAAGATTGAGTGCTTGCTCTGTGTTTAAACGTACGTTTTCGTTCTGTTAATAGCAGTCATCGATTCTGCAAACGAGTCATTTGTCTAGAACGCCCCTGTGGTAACTGTGAGCATTGAAGTCGCCTTAGAATTAGAAATGTAGTCTGTAGTGATCGATCAGCTTCTTGTAGATCTTCATTTCGCCCATGAGCATTGGGTAAGTATATGCAACATACCGTCATCTTCAATGGCTTGTGTAGGGTTACAGCTACTGCTGTAGAGTGTGTCGAGATCAACGAACGACTGCAGGATGAGTATTGGCTGATCAATATAGGCAACACACCTTCTAGCTCGACTCTATCAGGTTCTACGGTCACTGCGAAAGGTTTCTATATCTTCTAAAATTTGAAACGGTCTTTCTGGTTTAAAATGAGTTTCTTGTAGGCACACACACATTGTGTGTGATTAGGCCAGTAGCAATTTCAGGCTTCACAAGTAAGGCGAGATACAGCCATTGATACTTCCACTGAATTATATTTTACATGGCTTGGGAATGGGTTTTTCTTGCTGGTAGAATACGTAGATCTTGTTATATTTTCTTGGTTTCTTTTGCCATCCTTTCTTGCTTTCTCTTCTTACGCGGAGTTTTGATAGATCGATGGATTTTGGTAAATCATTTATTTTCAGCACTTACCATCGAACTGTCTCAGAGCCAGTGGTTCTGTCTTGATCATGGTCATCGATTCATTTTTTGTTTGAGGAAGTTGTCATTGGTGTGCTTGTAGACGAGGCGAGGAACTTCGATAGCCCTGTTGTCCATACTTTCTTTGCTGGGTTGGCTGCAGGCGCAGTGCGGGGGATTCTTTCTCTCATTTTGGTGGGTCTTGAAGAGTTCTTTTCCATTTGACTCATTCTCAGCTTTGAGCTGTTTTAGGTTAAGTTTTCGTGTGTTGATTTTATGCTTGGAACTTCGTTGAAGCGTACTTTTCTATGCATCGGCGTTATTGCAGGCATTAGTTCTTTCACTACTAAAGAGGTAAATTTGTTGTTTTAGTAACTGCTTCCACGTATGTAATAATTACCTTTATTTTCAGGAACTCACAGTTTTTTTGCATTCAGTATAGCTGATCTTATGTCTGCTTTAACTTGTTGAATTGCGCCTCCTGCTTTATATATGGGCGTCTCTTGCCTCGTGAATGTTGTCCACTGCAATTAATGTCCATTTGATAGCATCTAGGCATGGATCATCACTATGAATGCTTACCACAATGACTTACTTTCATTCTGCGCACATCTAGTGTGGGTGTCCAAATCTTAACATTGAAAGCACTGCATTGGTTTGAGGATGACATTCGTACGGTTAGACGATGAATGGTGCTTTAATCTTCTCTGGTAGTACAAGCGCTTGAAGTCAGGACATGAGACGCTGAAGGAATTATATGTCAATTCCCGCCTCTTTGTTAGCCCCTTACGACAGGCAATGGACTCCTTGAGAAGCTAGTTCTTGAACTTTTGCTCTTCACCTGCACGATTTAGTAAGTCACTGCAAAACTTACCAACACCTTTGACAAGGTATTCAGTGTGCGTGACACTTACTTCAACACTCTATAGTCGGCCCATACTTTGGCTTCAATTGTAGAAATTTTTACCTTGATTGTCATTAACTGTTTCTAGCCAGAGTCCATGCAGTTGTCTGTATGGTCTTTTACGGCAGGATCAGCGCAGGTGCTAATACTCCTCTCTATTATAAAACAGCTCACTTTATCGAAATTTCATTCAGTTCCTTTTACTGGTTAGGTACTTTCGTAGCTGCTTGCGGTGTTCTTGAAAGGTCATCATAGTTTGTTGATGTCCAACTTTTCATTCTTTTTGGCCATTGAACTCCGGGCTTTTTTCTGGACGAGGTTTTTAAGGGTTCCCTAACCTAGTGTGTCGCAGGCTCCATGACGAGTCGCGGAACTTTGCCTATCACCTCGTAGCACTATCTGCAGTGGGTGCGAGTGATCCACGCCCCTTGGGCATTGCGGCGCTGGTGCGACGGCCGGTGCCTTCTTGCGCACCACGACCGCGGTACTGGGCTCCGATCCCCTGAACCGTACCTGTCGATCTGACCAGAATCCTCCATCTTGGGTTTTTTTCTTCCTAGGGCTCACCTTCTCCTAGCGTTTTGAGCTACCGACAGCCTTAAGGAAATGGAAGGAACAAGGGGGACAGAGAAGACAGAGTTTAGAATAGAAGGTAGATGGAAACGACTCCTTAGCCCTCGCAACATAATAGCGTCGGGCGGAAGACACGAAGAGTTGGCCGATACAAGCTTGGCCTACAGGACAGAAAAACAGATGTGTTGCCACAAGTAAGTGAGCAATGACACACAGAGTTTATTGGGAAGACGCGATGTTTAGGGGAGTAGACAGCGGGACAGCTGCCTCGATTAAGTCGCGCTTCTACGGATCAGGGGGAGTCCCGTGGTGCCTATTACTACTAAATCCCCGACACCGCAGGGGTTGTTTGTTGTTATTATTATTATTATTATTCATGTATGTATTTTATTATTATTATTATTATTATATTATGTTATTATTATTATTTTTTATTATTATTTTTATATTTTTTTATTATTATTATATTTTATTTTTTATTGATATTATTATTATTATTATATGATTATTATTATTATAATTTATTATTATTTATTATTATTATATTATATTATTATGATTATTGTTATATTATTATTATTTATTCTTATTTTATTTATTTTTTATTATTATTATTATTTATTATTATTATTATTTATTATTGTTATTAATTTTTATTATACATTATTCCAGTACTACTGGTCGTATGTCAACACCACACAGGGAATGATTGACCATCGGAGGTGTGTTGGTTGCGTTATAAGTTAGATGGCTTCTGACAATACGGCATGTGATTCAAATATCACACTTATGCATTTATATACATTCCTGGCATCCAAGTGAGACCTCAGGGCGGAATTTGTCTTTTTGGATCACTCCTGTGAATGTATTGATTTAAAGGCACCAGTTGTCCACTTTACTTAAGTCCCACTTGAGTGTGATTTTCATGGTGCGAAGATCGGGATATCTCTTGGATTCTTCTCTTGATATTTTCCCGAATGTTGTGGGTATTGGGTTTGATTATCGATAAGAAACCTGCTGATGGTTTATATCAATGTACGTTATATCGTTGGTCTATTAGCCGCCGACATGTCCTGTCAGTGATAATGGCAGCGTACCAGTAGAGTGTGTGCCTCACTACTTTCAAGCACATTCTGAGGCACATATTATATAAGTTACGCACGGAAGTGGCGCAGTTAAGCCCGTTCTTCAGTTTGCATAAATTGGTGGGACCTGCCTTGCACTTCAGGGTCATGCCTTCTTTTTGTATTCACCAGCGATGTTCCATGCTTTGAGATACCTTCATGCCCCGTGCCTTCCGCTTTCCATAGGATATTCGTTCTCTTCCGTTTCAATGATTGGATGATAAGGCGAGATCCAAGCTTTTTCAAGTTCAGAGACTGTAGTTATTATCAAACTCCCGCTCACTGCTTGCTGACTCTTCCCACAATGTCCAGAAGTATCTTCTGAGTGTAGCAATTTGAGAAAGCTGTGTAGATTTATGAGATCTACAATATCTCGCCCTCCTTGCGACCTTGGGAAGGTTTAAAACGCCTCGAGTACTGAATGGGATGATGTTTATCGGATGTTGGGGTTGATAGCGGTATCGTACATTTTCTTCTGGAGGTTGTCGAGGTCGGTTATTGCTCCATTTATAATGCCAAAGGAGTATGTCAGCACTGGAATACAATGAATTGATTGGCCTGCACAAGGTTTTCTAGCATGAGGTTGTTTTTAAGAGTCCATGCAATCATTTACCACATTCAGTTGTTGTCTGTTCTTAGTAACGTGTGTTTGATTGGAGTGGCTGTTGGAAACCCAAGTATTTGTAAGTTTTCATTAAGGTTCCAGGAAGTAATTCTTTGGTTCATTATCAGGTTTCCGAATTTATAACTTACATATGGACCGAATGATATTCACTCGTTCTGCACTCTCCAAATCGAATTTCATCTGATGTTCGTCAGTGAACTTCTACGTCAGACGCGTCATTAGTTTGCGACTATGGCTTGTGTTGCAGTAGAGCTTCAGGTCATTCCGATGTAAAGATTGTGAGGACCGGCAGGAAGAGTGAGTTCCCCTTTTTTAAGAGCAACTTCCATAAATTAGATGAATAAGTAGAGTAGACAGCGGGATTCAAGGCTAGACGCAGACATAAAGGCTTAAAGTCCCTGGAAATCCCTCGGCGGATGCTGTATAGTATGGTGGGTGGACGTATTGTTTTCCATTAGAGAGATTACAGTTTTGTATGCCATCAGTATCGCGGTTGTTCAGGAAGTTTGGATAACAGGGTGACCTTGTAAAATCCAATATGGAAGGAGCGAGAATGGGGCCGGTGTCATGCTTTAGCACCGTAATCTTGTAGCATGGGTACAAGTTTTGTTGTTTTGCGCAAACTTGCCCATAATTACCGCAGTCATGTATAATGAGTTGCTCCTTGCAATCCTGAGATCCTGGCCTTACATCCTTTCGTTCTTCATTTGCTAAGATGTTCTGTCTCCTCAATGTGTTTATCCATCATTGCTGAAACACAAAGCATGTTTGAGTTCTTGTAGCAAAGTTTGAAGCCAGGTGTCATCAGCCGTAATCACGGGTCTTAGGTCACCTCCTTTGGCTAAACATGAAGTTCTACCTTAGTGAGGAAGTAAGTAGGTAATTTTCTGGCATTATGAAGAACAATTATGAATTATATTAGCATCATGGATGGTGCATAGTGGTACATTTTTTCAGCCATTAATTGTACAGGCCATTGCTGCCTGGTGCCTTCCATTATGTGCTTCTGTTCAAAGCTAGCTTGGGACCAATTCCCATCGGTGATGATTGGTCAGCCCAATAAGGAAGTAACCTTCAGTGTCTGTCGATTCCTATTCAATCCACCGTCCATGCTGGGTGTGGACACAGCAGATGCAGATAGGCTTCCCAAAATTCCTCTATTTGTGCCTTTGAGGGAAGCTTTGACTCTTTCATATCATTTACAAGCCCTTTGCCCTTTGACATGTTCCTGTAGAATGCTTTCTGTTAAAAAGGGAATTCTGTTGCTTCCTCGTAATGCAATTCATGTAGCGTCGAAGACGTTTTGTTAACGCCGAAAACTTTTGTCGTAGGATGTCAAGATGTTGTGTTATTGTTGAATTCAAGGGCTCGTGTTTCGTATGTATTTTTGTATTGATAAGGATGTTATTCACCTTTCTTCTCAGTTTTTCTGAGGTATTTCCTTTTTAAATTGCGTGAGTCTCCCAATATCTCTCCTAGTGCTTTCTATACGATTCACCAGCCGTCTTTCCCAAGGTGGCATTCTTTTTTCACTTCGATCATTGTGGGCAGTTGCTACGCGGCTGAAAAGCTTGGAACCGTTACATCTTGAACCGCAACACAATAAATTGCTGTGTATACTTATTATCATCATCATTATTATTATTGGATTTCTTTAAAATTTAGAAAATGTTACACCTTAAAAGAAACTGTCTGTGATGGGTCCAAAGTGCTTTTGTCTGTCCAGCAGCCCCGAAGCAGCTGACCCGCGGACGAGTGGAGATGGCAACGGGAGCGGTGCCGCGGGCGCGGGAGACGATGAGTGCGAGCAGGGGAATCCCGTGCCGCCGCCTCGCACGCGCCGCTCCACGTCGTCGTCGGCCGGGGCGGCTGCTGTGGCGGGAGGCGCGGCGGCGGAGGCGGAGGCGGCGGTGGGCGCAGAGGTCAGCGGAGCGAACGACGCGGCCACCGCCGCTCCCGTCGCCGCCGCCTCTTCCTCCGCCGGCATCGTGCCCGAGCGCACGTGCGACATCGCTGCCGCCACCGCCATTGCCGGCCGCGTCGCCGCCAGCCAGGAGCTGCCTTACATGACGCCGCCCATCCCGCAGCCAGCCAACTTCAGCGGCGACTCGCAGGACTCGAGTAAGTAGTAACCTGACCTGACCCGCCCCCGCTCCGCCCCACCACCCCATCCACACCCCACTCCAATAAATATTCAATTCAAAATTATCAGTCAAATTTTAAAGTGTGATACGAATTGAAACTGTTCCCGAGAAAAATTAAGCACTTTCATATCCAACTTAATTTTAAAAACAAAAATTTTTGAAACGACCATTTTTACTTTTATGTATACGTACTTAAACGATTATGATTTGTATACGCATATGGAAAGTGATGTAGTGCTGCGGAAAATCGATTTTGATGTTTCAACGAAAATACATGTTTTGGGAGCACTTGAAAATTGTAAACGTCTGTCTCTGTCCGTCCGCCGGTCCGCTTGCCCGCCGGACAGTCCCTCTCGGCCTCCCTCTCTCTCTCTCTCTGCGTCTGTCCGTTACTTTCTCGTATACTTATATATGAAGATTAGAAATAGTTATGTACTGCTGGGAAAACTCGATTTCAACAGAAATACATGCTTTGGGGTCCCCTGAGAACGAAAATGTTTTTTTTAACGTCCGTCCGTCTGTTAGTCAGTCAGCATTATTATTTACATTATCACTGATTTGTTTACATTAATGCATTTACAATCGCATGTTCATTAAATGATGTCATATAAAGTTTCTTGAAAACTCAAACTTTCAATACGTTGGGAAAAACTGTTGAGAAGTAGAGAAGGGGGTTGCTCACAAAGGTTTGTCTATGGGTTTGTGCAATTTATAGGCCACCCCACATGGAACCCCTAGAATGCAAAATGCTTGGGCTCAGTCATTTTCATTTCCTTTCTATTGCTCTGTTAATTATGACTAACATTGTATGTTTGAACACATTTATCAACACCCCATCCTTGGTGAAATCACCATGACATTGTTGTCTACACTATAGCACACAGTTGGGCACATTGGACAAAGTGTGGAACAATCTTAATCTCACATGGCTTGGATTGGCTGAATCCACTTCTGTTGAAGTAGATGCTCTTGCAGTGTTTTCTGCATCTGTTAGAGAAGGGTGTATGCATGACTACTTTATTACCTTGTACACCACATTGGTTTGAACCAAACATTTCTCAATGCCCTACAAGACTCCCTGAATTTGGCCTTTCTGGAGTCAAGCACATTGGAATTGTTTAAGCTTGTTCCTAATATGTGTAGGTATATCCAATGAAGCATGTAGTTGGGAAAGTTTATTTATCTTTTATCCTATTACAACATACACAAAAATACCCACTTAGTCTTAAATAATGTCTTTATTCAATGGCATAGACTGAATATTGCAAGTGTCTTATATCTCCATTATTACCCTGCATGTAATTATATGTGGAAATATAATCTCACCAACTATGTTACAGAAGGATACACCAGTATAAGTGTTAGAGAACCTTTGGCCAGTATCAAAGCACAGACAAAAGTCTACAACCAGAGCCAAGCTGTGGAAATGCAAGACCCTCATTATGCCACAGTATCTGATGATTCAGGTAAATGTCATTAGGAGTTAGAATAAAGAGAATTGGAAGGTGGAGTGAAGGGTAAAAAGATAATGGTTGAAGAGAAATTGGATTAAGGATTTTAAAACTAGTATAAAGACAAGAGAAAGACGGCAAAAACAACAAAAATGCAACCACTTTAAAAGTATTATTTCTACTACTACATTCCTACTTTAAAAATACTATTTTGGTGCTGCCCCCAAACCCCTGCTATCCCACAACAAAGCTGCTGCTCACAAATACCTGCAACTCTATTATTCACGTTCAGAATTCTAGAAATAAAATACATGTAAATTTAAAACTCATCTCACCTCACTAGTATAGGTTGTAAACTTTTTTTATAGAAATTAAAAAAGCTTGAGCAATTCTTATTTTGTTTCCGAACTATTCTTTTTTCACCACATGTACTCACACAAATGGTTTTCCATTTGCTCCTTGCAATGGTGTCTAGGGAGGTTTCTTTTAATTGCATTCCACATGCCTTCCAAGCTGTTGGTGTGAGACGCTTTGAAATGTAGTGAGTAGTTGACGCTGAAGTGGTGATAATCTTAGTCTCCTGGGCAATTGAATGATTTCCAACAGTCTGAGAGCACGATGGATCCGGACGTGATGAAAGATGAAAACTATACTAGAATATATTTATTCATGCATTCGAAGTAAATCAGCTGTTCACATTTTCATCCAATTCTTTGCTTGAACGTCCCCATAGTGATGTCACTGTAACGATATATAAGCTCCTGATTGGCTGAAACCGTAACAGCTGATATGTACTAAGCACAATTAAATTAATCGTACTATAGAATTACATCCTTGCTTTCAAATTATCCTTCGCATTCCCACCAACTTCACCAAGCAACAAGAGATGTCCAATGTGAAAAAATTCCTTACCTGACACATGCATGAAACAGCAGAGAGAACAAATTAAATACATTAGTTGTCATAACTACATTAATTAATTCATTTTTCATCATTTCATCTTAAGCGGTAGGAGGCTATGTTTTTTTCTTTGTATTGAAAAAGTCTTCCATGTTATAAATTGTTAAATTAGTAAAACATTTTGAAGTTATTATTGATTGTAAGGTGCTAATTTACATGTTTTTCAAAAAGTATATTCCTGAAATATGATTGAAAGATAATTACTCAGCACACTGCTTAGAACATAATTGGATTGTCAAGGCAGCAATATCCTGCTCCTGTACAATAGTGGTGAAGGTCAAAACTTAAGTACACCTTAGATCAACCCTAATGTCATAATTTTGAAACTGGTGGTAGAAAATTATGTTCTGATTGTCGTTTCATGTGTTGATATGTATCTGCTCCTCTTAGAAGCATGTTTTGAAACATCTGTTTGTGGAATATTATCACTGTGTCAACTGTAAAGAATTAAATGTGAAAAAACACTACTTTTCAGGAGTCTTAATTAATTGATACAAACCTTTCACCAAGACCACAATTTTCACCATCATATTCATTTACAGCTGGATTTTGGGCTTTCTAAAATGGTAGCTCATTTGCCAAGTCATTGTATGTATTGCCTTTGAAGCAACCACCAAACGATAATAACAGAAATTGGCTTCTTCACATTCGATACTTTACAGTTTACCCAATGATATGTAGATCACCAACACTCTGCAACCAGCTGTGATGCCTCAGGGCATAAGCTACTGCCACTTCAGTGCTTCTGATTTGGGGGCACTAGGGTTCGAGTTCTGATGATGACGTATTTCCAATACTAACTAGATAGCTAAATCAAAGTCTGAAGAAGATGTCCACTGGCTGATAGCTCTTAGTTTTCTGTGGTACCTCCAATAAGTACCATGCAAATTCCATCTTACAAATATGCCAGGTACTACATGCATTTCCTTCCTCATCCACCTCTTATTTACTTGCATGCACTACTCTACCACATATGAGTATGTCAGGAAACTAGTTAAGAGCTGAGAGCTTGTTCCAGTTGGGGTGGTGCCCCTCTGGCTGAGAAGGGGAAACCCCTAAAGTTGCCATTTAGGTCTGTAGTAGATACAAAGTTCCTGCGGGAGATGAACGCTGCAACTGCTCAGAATATAATCTTCACACTACAGGACTAATGACCATAGCAGTAGATGTCCTGTGGATACAAAGTAATCAGACAAAACTCTACATTGTGTCAATCTGACCTTTTTTCCCCCGATACTTTATCATAGGTAATACCAAGAGTGCTTTGGAAATTTCCGACTTGCGAAGCAAGGAGGGGATTTATCTCAGAATTTCCAAAGTACGAATGGTATTTCATAGGACTATTCCATGAGTGAAATTATGTCCAACAAAGTTCTAAATGCACCAAATATTGAAAATAACTGAAAGCTATGTTAAAATCAAAGAGGTTATGTTATAGTACATACACTGTGAATTGGATATCGACATAGTGATCAATGTATACCACCTCCTAAAATAGTGAAGTCACAGTTTATGATTAGCCAGTAAGAAAAAGCGATAAACTTTTTGAGATACACCACCCTGATTGGGGCATTATGTATGTATAGTTAAGCATTACTGGTTTTAATTTCACAAGTAGTCCTTATAAACATTGAATAAAATGTATTGAAATGGATGTGTGGATGCCCTAAAAAAACCTTAAATGTTTTTTTAATAAAATTGAGTGAATATTTACAGACAAGCAAAGCATTGCTCCTTTTTTTTAAGTGAGTAGTTTCAGTAGATGTGAACACATTAAGAAAGTACTCTGACATGATTTTACATTCAAATGTAAATTAAAGAAAGTAATATTTCTTCTGTTTTTCTTAAGATCTTTGTTCATGAATCATTTGCAGATGAAATGTATGCAGCTATAGAAGACCCAGCGCCAGTGTATAATAGTGGGAGTGAGACATATGCTCAAATACAACCACTAGCTCCATCTGAACCATTGCTCTCTGAGCAGAAAGTAGACTCTTCTGTATATCCTCCTCAACCTCCCAGCGTTGACAGTCTCAAATATGTAGCTCATGCCCACTCCCGTCAAGGTGCGTTTTTGTTTTTAGTATCTTAAATAAAAATTTGCCATGGAAAAGATGTGGATGTGCAAAATTACTTTTTTTTCATAAATTATTACAAAATTATTGTCAAAAGTGTTGTACATTAAGGCTTTCAATAATTTCTTTCTATAAAAAATGAAACGTTTTTAATCTTTTAGAGAAAAGTGCATGTTTTATGTTTATAAAAATTATAAATTAAATAACAGTAACAATTTTTTCAAAACTTTTGTTCTTATGTTGAAAATGTCTTTAGAGTAAAATAATTACACTATGCAACTTGTTCTTTTGTTATTGAATTTTGTTCTATTATAATATAAATTCTATAAATAAACCTAGTATATCCTTTAGGACTCTTTGGTATCTAAAATCTGTAAAAGAATGTGGTAGACATTGTTAGCTGACCATTGTAACTATATATTGTATTTACAAACTTTGAATCAATCCAACTTTTTTTACCTCATTACTTGACACTCATTACTTAACAAAGATATTTGTTTCAGCATCATCTTCCAGTGCAAGTAGTTCTGTTGCCAATCTTGGATCTCCGAAACCTGAAAAAAGGCAAGCAAATTCACCTCTGCCGCCTCCACCATGTGGCAGCCCAGATAAATGTGCAGATAAACCAAACTTGACAGTGAGTGAAATTGTGAATATAGAAGAAATGTATGCCAAAGTGATGAAGAAGAAACACAATATGGAATCCAATCCATCTACTAGTGTAATGTCACAAGATGTGGATCATCCCTCCCAGAACAATGAATGTTCAAAACTTCACCAAGAGCCTGACAGACTGTCAATCAGTGTGAGTGAAATAGGTGCAAAATGTGATAGTATTAATAGTGAATGCAATAGAACAGAAGGCCAGTTACGAACTCAAGATGGTAGTATAGTCAATTCTGTAAATTCTGATATGCAATTGAGAAATCTAAGTAAAAGTAATCAGTATTTTGACCCAGGTTATGAAGTAGTTCATACACATGATGTTACTGACAGCAGCTCTACAAGTGAGAACAAAGCAGAACCAGTGCCTTGTGAAGATGATTCTTACTCACATTCATGTCCATCAGACTCTAATACTTACAACAATAACAGCAGTGAAAGTAACAGTACATACAGTGTTAGAAGACTTACAAATGATAGCAATAACAATAACAATAGTACAGAAAATGGTATTTACCCAAAGTATGAAAGCGTTTTACCAGTTGGGTTTGCAGGAGATAGTGCAGGGAATGATTCGCCATTTTTTAGTGATGAGATAAGTGAACCAAACTATGAGAGCATGCCCAGCGAAGAGACAGAATTGCATTACACTGGTGCGCAGGGAACTTCCGGAAGTAGCGAAGTTGATCCTAACTATGAAGTGGTTGAACACGATGATCCTAATTATGAAAGTGTTAATTACATTGACTCAAACAGTGAACCACCTTATGAAAGACTGCATAATGAAGTTCAAGATTTTGAATCAGAGATAGATCATAATTATGACAGTACTATGCAATGCAATAACAGATCTGTGGAAAATCATGAAAAAAGTGTTGCAAAGAGCTTCAATGAAAGAGAGCGACAGACCTCTGAGCCAGGGTATGAGGAGATTGGGCAGCAAAACAATAAAGTATGGAGTGAATTGGATCCAAAGGAGAGAGATGGAGTGTCTTCATTTTCTTCAAAAGAACATTAAATAGTGTGACTACTTGCTACTTTTCATGGCATTATACTCTTCAGATTGAATATTTTTGTAATGATGAAATTATTATAATATTTTACCTTTTAAAAATGATATGGTAAAACTTTTGTATTAGTATTTATTTATTAAATGTCTCCTCATTTAAATTGTAGATGGAGTCTCAAATTTAGCGTAACAATTTACAAACTTGTACATATGCAGTGTCTCTTGCAGAATTAAAACAGAATTAAATTAATGAAAATAAAAAGGAATAACAATTTGTGAATATGACTAATAGTATGAATAAACATTTGTTACCAAAGTGTTTTGTGACTTAATGTAAATAAATAAATTTAATTAACGTAATCCATTTGTAAATCTAGTGCTTCACAAACAGAAAATTGAAGAAACATTTAAGAGATTGACTCTCTTTCATCATCCTTTGTCTTTTTATGTACTTACGTATTCAAAGTTTCTGGTTTATATGCAAGATAAGTATAATTGATACCATCTCATAGATAAGAACCTTTATGGATAATTTTTACTCTTCCACGTTATTAGGGTCTGATTCAGAAAACAATTATGCGAGTGAATTACTTTGAAAGAGTCAAATTTAAAATGTCTATTCATTAAGTCAACTGTTTCCATCCATTCTATTTAGTGTTAATAGTTTGTTATTTATTGACAATTTTAATTAAAATTCATTGAATTTGAAATTGAGCATTATTTAATAGTTAGAAAATACACCAACTCCTGAAAATTTTATATTTATGATGAGTTAGTGAAATTTTCCAATTCCCCTTCCCATTCCTAAGAATCCACTTGTGGCAGAGTTGTATAATGACTAGAAAGAAGGAATTAAAGAATAAATGTGTATCATCACTACAAACATGAAGTTACTTAAAACCACTTGCTCACTAATGTTAGAAAAGACAATTTGAAAGATGTCCACAACAGCATAATCTCAGTTGTACAAAAACAAAAAACAACACAAAAAACAAACACAACACACTACAAAAACATGCAGCAATGGCTCCAGAAATGTATTTCAATTCTAAAGAAATCTTCCTACCTATTTCAATTTTTGCTTTCTTGTATACGTAGCATAAAGTTAAGTAATGCTGTAGAAACTTTATTTCAGGAGTTTAATGGAAATGTTTTTAAGATGCTTGGTATCAAGAAAATTTTATTTCTCAAAACAGACAGTCTGTCCATGGATGAACAGCTCTTAACACCCAAACCATTAACAGAATTTTTTTCAAAAATAATATTCCCTGAAAATAAAATCAGAAATGTTCCATTATGTACCAATTTTTTTGGAAAAGGTACACCTCATGTACCACTTTCAAGAAACCTGAAAACGACTCAATAACAATACAGGAGGAATGTGTAGTGTATTAATCTTAAGGTCATGAAACAAAAATTTTTTATATTAAAGTATTTGTATAATTAATTGTTTGTATTACCAAACAAAGAATGAAAACAGTAAGAGAAGGTTGAATAAATCTTTAAATGTACCTACAAATTAGAAACTTTCCGTTTGTAGGCGGATGGTGATACATACTTCTTGTAGGAGTGCCTACAGTAATCACCAAAATATTTGATGACATCTCTTATATGGTCTTTCCATGTCTGTGATATCTTGGTGAAATCAGAGACACGTTGCACTCCATAGCCTTGTAACAGTCCAGCATGTGTACAATCAGTTCCCTGTAATTCTCAGACATTGTCACATACATCTTCCAATGTAAGCCAAGCTGTCTTTTCAGTATCTGACAGCAACTGTTCCAAGGTAATATCTTTCATCAAGTCTTCACTAAGTTTTTTCCTAGTCCTACCATCCCAGTGGCACAAGAAACAACAATATTTCGTAAATGAATTCTGCATTCCTAGGAAAAGTCCCAGAACTCCGAGATGACCACCCATGATATTCAGTCTGTCTATTGTGAAAACTATTGAGCAGGTTGTTGCTCCGAATGCATCGGGCGGTTGTTCTTTCATCGCCACCCGCCGCAAAGGACTACGGCAGGGCCGTCAGACGAACGAGCCTGGACTCGGGTAAAGTAGCCGTGGGGAAGCGGGCCCGGGCTTTCCAAATCCGATATGACACTGGGACAATAGACAACGCGGAGAATGCTCACACTAAGTTCACTGATTGGCTCACTTACTGAGTGCCCGTCTCCGCTTTACAATTCCTGCTCCACGTCCACGTGTATACTGCGTCTGTTCATTCACGAGCCACCTCATTCTTATAGTTGGGAGCTGACTTGATTGCGAGGCTTGGGAATGCGCACGGTGTTCTTGGAAGCTGCCCGCCGAGTCTGCAACTACTAGCTGTCCCAAATATATTACGCCAAGTATCCATAGGCAAGAATTAAAACATCATACGAGAATAAGGAAAACAAAGAAGCAATAAGTGAATGCCATCAATGTAGATTTTTTTTATCTTCACAATATGGCCTTTTTTTACCGGGAGTACTCAAAGCTGCACCGCCGGCTTGATATCCTTCTTTTTTAATTGATGTCACAATTCGAAAAGATACTCCAGTATAGTTTACTACCCGAAAATTGCTGTTATGCAGCGTGTGTTGAAGAGCGCCCGAATTCTTTTCTTCGTCACATTTCTTAATAACGAGACGTATAATTTCCCTAGCATCACTGTGTATTGTTTGGCCTTCACTACGAACAGAAGCCATACCGTTCCACCATACAATTGTGTTACGAACAGGAAGCAGATTAGAGAGGTTTACGAACAGGAAGCAAATTAGAAAGGTTCAACAGGCTGAGGAGTAGGGCTCAGCCAGCGCCCCTCTCTGGGGGTGCCAGCAGAGGTGGATTTACGCATAGGCACAGTAGGCACATGCCCACGGGGGCAAATTTTCAAAGGTGCAAAGGCTCAACGGAAGTCAATATGCAAAAATCCGAAAAGAAAAGGAAGAGAAATGTCAAAATGAAATTGATAAGACAAAAAAATAAATGAATTCTTTAAACCTATGTGTGAAACTGATCACTGCAGTTCATTCGACAATTCTATTACTGAGTTTGTATAAACATATAGATTAGATAACATATTTAGTTTTCAGCTAGTATATTTTTTCCATGTACTAATAACTTGTGATAAATAAGTGTTAACATTAATATATTTTAATGCAGAGTTGTGTTGCTAAAATATTCTCAAAATGCAAAAAATGTTTAGTACAATGATTAGAAATTAAATATTCTTGACGTGTTGTTGTATTCGTTAAAATGAACTATATCAATATATAATTTAAATAAATTAGCATAAAATATGTTGCTTTAATTATGTTACTAAACTTTATTTTATATAATATGTAATAATACATATATTTTGACTCTTTTATTTATTCAGGGTAATCACTGAATCTAATAATGAGAAAGTTCCAAACAGCTAAAAATGAAATGGTTCCTCAAGCAATTGAAAATATAACTGCGATTGATTATGAGTCGACGATTCAACCGATCTGTACAATAGTCGTTTAAGCATTTTTTTACAACATAAAATATATAAACTAAATATAATTATTATATATATATAATATATATATATATATAATATATATATATATTAATATACATAGTATAATATGTACAGAATATTATAATATATTAA